AATTGTACAATTCTCTTGATGACTAGCTGAAAAATTCTCATAAAATACTTGCAAACCAAATTCAACAACAATTAAAAAAAATTCAGCACAGCAGGATGTGGCACATGCCTTTTATCCCAGCTACTCTGGATCCTCCTGGAGACAGGTTGATCACAATTTGAAGCCAGCCTGGGCAAAAATTTAGTGAGACACTGTCTTAAAAGCAAGCCAGGTAGGAAGACACATCTGTGGTCCTGCCTACTTAGCAGGTAGAGGTAGGAGGACCGCAGTTCAACACCAGGCCAAGAAAAGCTTTTATTAGACCTTATGTGAAAAACAAACTAAATATAATAGGACTGGAGACACTGCTCAAGTGGTGAACTTGCAAGTAAAGGCCCTGATTTCAAGTCCCAGTACTACAAAACAAAAAACAAACAAAGAAAAAAAGATACATATGGTTAAAGTTGGTTTCATTCCAGGGATGCAAGGATGATTCAACATACACAAATCAAGAAATGTAATCCAGTATATAAAATAAAATTAAGGATAAATATACAAGACATCCTGACAGATACAAAAAGAGCCTCTGATAAAATTCAACATCCATTCATGAATAAAAGCCCTGAACAAATTAGGAATAGAAGGAACATACCTCAATTTACTAAAAAACTATACAAACAAATGTATAACTAACATTGTACTAAATGTTACTAATGAATACTAATGAAACTAAGTATTTCATTACTAAAGGAAAGAATTTCCTCTAAAATTAGGAATGATTTTATTCCACTCTTATTCAATGTAATGCTTGAATTCTTAGCCAGAGCAATAAGGCAAAAGAAAGAAAATAAAAGGATACAAATAGAAAAGAGGAAATCAAATTATCTCTATTTGCAGATGATATGATATATTTAAAAGACCCTAAAGACTCCACCAAAAAACTAGAGGTGTTACTCAAGTGGTAGAATACATGCTTGTAAGTTCAAACCCTAGTACTTACAAAAACAAAACAAAAGCAACACCCCCAAACCAACTCTTAAATCTGATAAACATTTTCAGTAAAGCAGCAAGATACAAAGTCAACACATCAAAAAAACCCAAAACAAGAACAACAGAAAACAACCCAGTAGCTTTTCTATATACCAATAATGAACAAAGTGAGAAAGAAATCAGGAAAACAATCCCATTCATAATATTGTCAAAAAGATAGCCAGGTATAACTTAACTAAGGATGTGAAAGACCTCTACATTGAAAAACTGTAAAACCCTGAAAGAAAGAAATTGAAGGAGACATTTGAAGATGGAAAGAACTCTCTTCAAAGATGGACAGAATTAAATATTGTGAAAATGGCTATACTATTGAAAGCATTCTACAAATTCAATGGAATCCCCATAAAAATTCCAATGTCATTTTTCACAGAAAAAGAAAAATCAATCCTAAAATTCACATGTGAGCAAAAAATCCTGAATAATCAAGCAATCCTGAGCAAAAAAGAGGAATGCTAGAGATTTATCACAATATCTGACTTCAAATTATACTACAAAGTCACATTAACAAAAACAATATGGTATTGGCACAGAAACAGATATGTAGATCAATGAAATAGAATAGAAGATCCAGAAATAAGCCCATACCATTATAATCATCTGATTCTGGACAAAAACACAAAAGCATACATTGGAGAAAAATATGATCCAATATTTAAAGGACCCTAAAGACCCCACCAAAAACTCTTAGACCTGATAACCAACATTTAGGAAATGGTGTTGGAAAAAAAGAAAATGGTGTTGGGAAAATTGGATATTCACATGTAGAAGACTCAATTTTGATCCCTATCTTTCATTCTATCTTTCTGTACAAAAAGTTAATTCAAAATGGATCAAAGATCTTAATGTAAAACCTGAAACTTTGAAAACTATTATAGGATAACATAGGGGAAAAACTTGAAATACAGGCGTAGGCTATGACTTTCTGAATAGGACTCCAATAGCTTAAGGAAATAAGAGCAAGAATTGACAATGAAATTGTATCAAATTAAAAAGCTGCACAGCAAAAGAATCAATTACTAGAATGAAGAGAAAGCCTACAGAATGGGAGAAAATCTTTGCCAGATATTAACTGAATGAGGTTAATAACAGATATATAAAGAGGTCATAAAATTAAACACTAAAAGAACAAACAATCCAATTAATAAATAGGCAAATGAATTAAACAGTTTTCCAAAACAGAAGCTTAAATGGCTAATAAATATGTGAAGAAATGTTCAACAACCTTAGCCAATAAGGATATGCAAATCAAAATGACATTGAGATTCCACCTCAATCCAGTAAGAATAGCAATCATCAAGAAAACAACAACAAATGCTTTTGAGGATGTAGGGAGAAAGGAACCCTTATACTCTGTTGATGGGAATGTAAATTAATGTAGCTACTAGGAAAACGGTATGAAGTTTCCTCAAAAACTAAATAGATCTACTATATTATCTTGCTATAAAACTCCTGGGCAAATATCCAAAACAATGTAATCAGCACACAATAGAAATACTTGCACGTTCATGTTTACTGCAGCACTCTTTGCAATAGACAACCTCTGGAATCAGCCTAGATGCCCATCAACCAATGAATGGGTAAAGAAAATGTGATTATATATATACACAATGGACTGTTACTTGCCCATAAAATGCAATGAAATTACATAATTTGCCAGAAAATTGGTGGAACTGGAGACAATCCTGTTAGGCAAAATAATCCAGACTCAGAAAGATAAATATCACATGCTTTCTCACGATGTGGAATTTAGATCTAAAAAAAGAAACTACATGACTATAAAAAGAGGACTGTTTGGGGCATGGACTCAGAATGAGGGGGATGAGTGAAAAGAGAGAGTAACAGAGGGTGATTGAAGTACATTATTTTCATGTATGAAAATAGAATAATGAAACCATTAAAATTGTATAAAAGGGGGGAATAAGAAAGAACAATAATGGAGGTGAATGTGATCAAAGTATATTATATGCATGTATAGAAATCTTTCAGTGAAATTCCTTTGTACAATTACTAATGCTAATTTATAAAAAGAAATTGCTGGGGGGCTGGAGGTGTGGCTCAAGCAGTAAAGTGCTTGCTTGAGTAAAGCCCTGAGTTCAACCCTAGTATTGCCCCCACCCTCCCAAGAAAAGAAATTGTTTTGTTGCTTTTAGAAAGGTTTTTTTTTAAAATCTGTCATTCTTTTTTGTTTATATCCACACTGTAAGCTAGGAAGTAAATTAATAGAGTGATACCTCTATCCAATCATCTCCCCCAGTCAATTTCAATGTTCCAAAGTTTAATTAACAGAACAGGGAGGCTGCCCTGAACTGAACTCAGTACTTTGGAAAACCATGTTCTACACGTCCTCTGTTTGTCTTTACTCTTGCTATTCCTCAGCCTGAAATACCCCTTTTGCCACAGCTATGTGGCAAACACCTACTCATTTCAGCAAGATTCAGCTCATGTGCCAACTATTTCTCTATGATGGAGTCTTTCTTGGATACCAACTTTCTTCTTTTCAAAATCTTTATATCCTGTACAGTTATCTGTCAACATTTTTCCACATTTTGTGCACTTGTTTAATTGTAACTATCTTTAAAACCATTTGTCTGTAGGCACCATGTGAAAATCATTTTGCCTTTTTTTTGAAGTGCTGTAGATTAAAATAAGGGCCTCATAAATGCTAAGCACACACTCTACCACTACATCCCCAGATTCTAGAATTCATTTAAAAAAAATTTTTAGAAATTTGATATAGCCCGAAGGATGGATAGATTGTTAAATTAAAGAATGGAAGAAAGGCTAATACAATGAATATAATATACCAATTCAATCAATTTTTTAACACCTACTAGGTACCATGGTGTTTTAGGTGCTGGTGATGGAGCAGTAAATAAACCAGACAAAAATCTCCCCTTGTTGAGCTTGCATTCCCAGGGAAAAATATTCAAATGAGTAAGTAAAAGTACACTGTATACTAGAGGTATGTAATTCAGGGAAGGGAGATAAGAAATATTGGGAGTAGAAGAAAGAAATGTATATGAGAAGGTTAAAATATAAATAAGCAGACAAAGGGAAGCCTTACTGAGAAAGTGGCATTTCAGTAAAGATCTGAAGGACCTGAGGGAGTGGTTCATGTGGCTATTTAGGAGAAGAGGAGAAACTGACACAGAAGCAAGTGCAAAGGTCTGAGGCAGAGAACTGTTTTGATCAAGTTGCTTCTGAAAGCAACTTGGGAAGAGGGATGCACAGATTGTGTAGGGCCTTCGAGGTGGTAAGTGATTTTGGCTTTTACCCTGAATAATACTGGAAGCCACTGGTAAGTTTGAGAAGAAAAGTGACATTATTCTGGCTGTTGTATTGGAAAGAATAGGTTGAGGGGGATCAGAAGACAAAGTCTAGAAAGAGAAAAAAAAACAACCCAATAAGAGACTACCACAATAATCTAGATCAAGTAAGATAGTGGCTTTAATTAGGATGGTAATAGTATAGGTAGTGAAAACGAGTATGGTCCTGGATATATTTTGAAGTACAGCAAACAAAATTTACTGCTGGATAAGCTTGGGATATAAGAGAAAGAAATGTATCAAAAAAAGATTCCAAGGTTTTAGCTGAACCATTAGAATGGAGTTGCCGTACGCTAGGAAAGAGTATAGAATTTGAAGCCAAGGGACATGGTTTTATATACTAGTTTTGTGGGCCTGACAAGTCTTTAGCCTTTTGGTACATGTTTACCCATCTGTAAAATGGGAATAATAACAACTACTATATCAAATTAAACAGCATTAGTAAAATATTTGTAAATCATAAAAGGCTTAGGTATTTCTATTATCTCAGTAACTTTAGAAATACTTTTGTTTCATCAACCTTCCCTTAAAAATATATACAGAAGCTGCTTTAGAAATTAAGCAAGAAATCAGATATGTAAAATTCTGTTAAACATTACTTTTTCTTAGGTAGGCTACCAGTCTGGACAGTAGACAAAGCCCAGAGCCTATCTCCTAACTAAGTGCCACAGGGAGGAAGTTGGATGCATTTACCCCTTGTTAACATTCTTGTCGTCATCCACCCACTGAATGTGGATATGCTCCTGGGGATCCTCTGTATCTGCCTTCCCACAGGTGATGGTGAAGTCCTTCATTTCTCGAAGCGCCTGCCTCAAGGAATCCATGTTCTCTGCAGTGATCTGGACCATAACGCCATCTAAGAACCAGCACCAAGATAATACAGATGGGATCAATGCAAAGCAAGGGAGGGGGTGCAGATGAGATGCAGTACCTAGCATCTAGTAAATTCCTCTGGTATTATACATAAAACTTTGCTCTGCTCTCCAAAACTGACAGACACAAAAAGGTGTTCTTTGGCTGAATCTTTTATTCACTGAAGGGCTGAGAGCAAATGCCAAGTTGAGCTCTGCTTAAAACACTCCCCTGTTGATTTCACTTCAGACCTCATTAAGAGTTTCTCCTGAGAATGTACTCAAAGGGAAAACTTATGCCTGGTCATGCTGCTCTTCTCGATTCCCAGAGCATTTTGATCCTGTTTTTCCTCTTGCATTTACCAAGCTCTGATCATACTTACTGGTTTGCACTTCCATGTTTCTCACTTTACTATGATTGTTTTGACATAGAGTGAATGCCTTGTAAATGTTTGTTAAATAAATGCTGAATAAACTACAATAGTCAGTTTGAGAATAAATCCATTAATTGACTAGTAATAAGGTAACCATAGCCAACATGTTTCTGTTTTTCAGTTGCTACCTACCTGAGTCAAAGGTGAACACTGAAACTGAGGTTAAAAGTTGTCACATATTGAGTCATTACCCTGCCTCACTGATACACAGTTTTGTCAGCTAAAATAATTTCTAAAGAGCCTCAATAAAACTTTTCCAAATAGCCAACTGCTGTGTTGAAACACACAGTGAAGTACAAGACCCAAGAAACTCCTAGCTTGAAGACATAAACACACTATTTTTAAACACACTGCTTTGTATTTGTAAGAATCTGTGTCAATTTAATTGATCGTTTTAACTACACTTAAAGGGTATTTTTTACCCTGCTTACAAAGACACAATTCAACAATATTTTACACTTGATCATACAGATATTAGTCACTTTAGATTGAATGAAACTGTTTAACTCCTAGACTTAACAATTTTTTTTTTTTGAGACAAGGTCTTGCTATGTTCCTCTAACTGGCTTTGAACTTGTGGGCTCACTGACTCTCTTGTTTAGCTTCCTAAGTAGCTGTGACTACTGGCAAATACCAACATGTCCAGCTACTTAAAAACTTCTTAATAACATGCTTTTACTTTATAGTCAGTGTTGTAAAGTTTAATTATAAAACATTAGTACAACTGTGCTTTACTGTTTTATTAAATTTACCAATAAAAAATCAAAGCCAATACCTATAAATATATGTAAGATTATTTATGTATTTCAATTAACTTACTGGAATTCAGCCCTCATAAAGGACTGCTTTTAGACAGGGCTTTGGAGTGATCTTTCATGGAAGTAAAAACTGTCATTATGCGGTCAATACATTCAAGAGAATGTATCTCTTGTCTCACATGCTTTTCTAGAACGATAGCTTCCCATCCCCTATTAAGAAGTCTAATTCCTCTCCTTTTTGACAACACTAGAATTTGGTAGAAGTGACACTATGTGACTTTTGAGGCTAGGTCACAAAGGCAATACAGCTTCCACAAACTGGAATGTTTGTGGTTGGAATCCCAGAGTCACCAAATAAAGTTCAGCCATTCTAAGGCTGCCAGACCATGTTAAGCAGTCTATGTGTAAGTACTCCAGTAATCATCCTCAGTCTTTAAATCATCCCAGGTCAGATCCAGACATGAATGTGAACAAACCTTCAGATAATCTATCTTGGTGCCATCAAATAACCCCTACCTTCAAGTCATCCCTACTAAGACCCCCATAGATCCAGGAGCAGCATCAAACTAGCTATCTCTGCATTGCCCTGTTGAGATTCCTCATCCAGAAAAATGAGCAAACATGATAAACAGTGGTTTGAAGCCATCAAATTTTGGGGTAATTTATAATGCAACATAAATAATCAGATCATTAGCCAAGTGTGGTGGTACACAAGTATAATCTCAGCACTCAGGAGGCCAGGGCAGGAGGATCACAAGTTCATGGTCAACCTGGGCTACATAATGAGTTCAAGGCCAGCCTGGGCTAGAGAGAGACCCTGTCTCAAAGAAAAAAATAAAACAATAGGTGGGTGGCTGTGGCTCACACCTATAATCCTAGCAACTAGGAAGGCTGAGATAGGGAGGATTGAGGTTTGAGGCCAGTCTCGGAAAAAAGCTCATGGGACTCCATGTCAACCAATAGCTGATTTGGGTGGCACATGCCTGTCATCCCAAGCTACATAGGAGGCTGAAATCAGGATTGCAGTTCCAGGCCAATCCAGGTGAAAAAATTTGTGAGAGCTCATCTCAATGGGAAAAAACTGGGTGACAGTGGGATGTATAAAATAGACAGATCATGGTACAGACTAGCCTGGCCCTTTCTCCAAAGTAACCAAGAAAAAAATGGGCTGGAGGAGTGGCTAAAGCAGGAAAGCACCTGCCTGGCAAGAGTTCAAACCCAGTACCACCAAAAAATAAAACATGAAAATACAAAAAATAACAACCAACAGAAAATACATGATATGTTGATTAGTCTTTCACTTACCCTAATTAACATCTATTAGAATATGTTTCATGTCTAATTAAAATAACACTGTAATAAGCACATTTCATTCGGTACTTCAATGATAATCACAGCTTTTTTTTTTTTTTTTTTTTTTGGCAGTACTCGGGTTTGAACTCAGGGACTCACGCTTGCTAGGCAGGTGCTCTTATGGCTTGAACCACTCTGCCAGCCATGTTTTGTGATGGGTCTTTTCAAGATACATCTCATGAACTATTTGCCCAGGGCTGGCTTAAAACCATGATCCTCCTGATTTCTGCCTCCTGAGTAGCTAGGATTAAAGGCGTGAGCCATAGTACCCTGCAATCACAGCATTCTTGTGGGTAGAAGAGAGTGAATTTCATCATTTGTATCCAATAATATATTTGAACTCACACTATGTCCCCTCAGGTACCTTATTCCAAAGCTATGAAAGGTTATCTCTTAATTTTTGGACCACTATTCCATAATATCTGTATTTCCTTCTTTGGAGAATTTAGCACTCTATGTCTATTTCTTTGTTTTTTGTTTGGGCTTTTTTTTTTTTTTTCTGATGGTACTGGGTTCCAACTCAGGGATTCACACTTGCAAAGCAAAGCAGGTACTATACCATTTGAGCCACACTGCCAGTTCACTTTATCCTGGTTATTTTGGAGATGCGGTCTCATGAACTATTTGCCTGGACTGGCCTTGAACCACGATCTTCCCAATCTCAGACTCCCAAGTAGGATTATAGGAATGAGCCACTGGTGCCTGGCTTTTGTTTGTTTTTGAGATGGGCTCTTGAGCAATGTTGCTCAAGGTGGTCTTGAACTCTTGGGTTAATGTGATTCTCCTGCCTCAGCCTCCCAAATAGCCTGGATTAGAGATCAGAACCACCAAGGCTGGCTCCCATGACAGTTTTAATATGCTGAAGAGTAACATGTCACTGAATAAATAACAGGGGTCAGACATCTACTGCTAAAGTATGAAGGCTTCTCTTAATGTCCCATGCTTTTTAGTTGTATAACTAGGACAGAACTAACACACATAGAGTAAACAATTCATCCTTTACCTTCCACAATACTGGACTTGGCAAGGTATCCTGAAGATGATTTCAGAGCACCACTGAACACAAAGAAACTGGCACCAGTCACTAAAAGAGCAGTAGAAATAGTTTAGTGATGACAGAACCTGAGAATGGAGGAATTGGGAACAATAATGAAATTTGGTAAATGGGTATTACAAACATATAGAAAATAAAAAACACGGAATCCATACAATTACAATATACAATTAACCAATAATTCTGATACTTATGATATTTGGGAAAGAAGCTTTAAGATATACTTCTCCATTCTGTTTTGTTCTTCCTGTAATTAAAAATCAAAGAATCTTAGAAGCAAAAAAATCTTGATGGTCTAGTCCTGGGCCATCAAACTCTACCCTGCTTGGCTTGTAGCCTATTTTTTTATAAATAATTTCATTTGAACACAGCCATACTCATTCATCACATATTATCTAAGACAGTTACTGCACTACAACACTAGACTTGAGTAGCTTATGACAAAGACTGCAGGCTATAACGCCTAAAATATTTATCATTTGGCCCTTCACAGAAAAACTTGTGGCCCCTGTCTAATCCTCTGATTTCCAGTTCTTTTAAGAACAAATACATATTGAAGATGGAGATATAATAAAACTTTTTTTTTCTGCCAAGTATTATTATTTTTTAAAAAATCTATTTAAAAGACAAATTTCTAATACCACTATTTCTTTTTTCTTTCTTTCTTTCTTTTTTTTTTTTTTTTTTTTGTGGTACTAGGGCTTGAACTCAGGGCTATACCTTGAGCCACTCCACTAGCCCTTTTTTGTGATTTTTTTTTTTCCAAGGTAGGGTCTCCTGAACTATTTGCCCAGGCTGGTTTTGAACTGCAATCCTCCTGATCTCTGCCTCCTGACTAGCTAGGATTACAGGTGTGAGCCACTGGCGCCTAGCTCCACTATTTCTTTTATAAAAGGTATTATATGTAATTATATTTAGCTTTATGAAAACATCACTTATTTTGCCACTCCTTAAACTAGACTGAACTAATCCAATTTCCTATCAACTAGCCCTACAAGATCTCTAATTGGTTATCCAGAATTTTTTGAACACTCCCAATGACAAAGGGCCCACAACAGCACAAGCAAAGCACCCCATCCTACTTCTGGACACACTTTTAAGGTTACATAATATACTCTTAAATCAAGCCCAAATCTGGCTCCCCATAACTTTCATCCATTGGTTCTGGTCTGGTTCCCCCTTTTCCTTTTCCACCCCAGTGCTAGGTACTGAACCCAGGCCCATATACATGCTAGGCAAATGCTCTACCATCTCGAGTCTAGTCTTTCTGTAATATTAGAGAAATCTTATTTCCATATTCTGAAATAGATGTTGTTATTCCCCATCATCTTCCAATGTATTCATTCCAGGTTAAACATGTATAACCTCATTTAAGAAA